CTCTGCCCTTGCTGGGGACCTGCCTTCAAATTTACTGGGGATTCATCATCAGGGGTTGGTGCTTTGTCCTGAAAATCAGGAGAAAGGGGGGAAAAACCCCAATGAAAATATTCCTCAGATCCCAAGTGCCCAGGGAGATTTCCTGGCACTTTAGTGGACAAGTGGAAAGATGGAAAGTTGTCCCACAGGCCTTTGGGTTTTTTGGTGCCTGGGAATTTGGGCCAAAGCAGAGTCTCATCCCAACGTCCTCCCATGGCAGGGGGTGCCTGCTGAGCCCTGTCATGAAATGCTGGAGGAATCATGGAATTCCAGGATGGTTTGGGTGGGAAGGGACCTTCAAACTCATCTCATTCCACCCCCTGCCACAGACAGGGACACCTTCCACTAGCCCAGGTTGCTCCAGGCCCATCCAGCCTGGCCTGGGACACTCCAGGGATGGGGCAGCTTCTCTGGGACACCTGAAAGGGGGAAAAGCCCTCTGGGATGTGTGTCCTGCTCCACAGCCCAGCTGGCTGAGGGGAAAGAGCCTTCCCAGGTCTGCTGTGACCCAGCCCCAGCTGGCCCCACGCCTGAGGCCCTTGGCAGGGCTGGAGAGAAGGGCAAAGAGCATCTGCAATCCCGGCAGGAGCCTGAAAACAGGGAGTCCAGCAGGGAAAAGCTTCCACTGCCACGTCCATCCAAGAGCTCCCAGGCCACCTGCCTGTCCCCCTCCCCTCCTGCCTTGCAGGGAATGCAGGGCAGGGCCCAGGATGCTCCTGCTTTCCCTGAGCTCCGGGAATGCCAGCCCTGTCACAGCCTGCCCTACCCTGAGCCTGCCCTCTGCTGCCCCCCAGCCTCCTGTCCCCCTGATTCCCAGGGATTTCCAGCCCATCCTGGCCTGGTTTCCATGGCTCTGCAGCCTCAGGTAAGTATTCCAAACCCTCAGCATCAGGAAATGCAGCTCACCCTGGGGGGATGATCCCTGGGATGCCACAGGGTGGGAGGGGGGACCCCAAAGTTGGAGTTTGGACATAGAGGGTGGGAGACCTTGCTGTGGAGTGAGAGACCCCATAAATGAGGCAAACCAGCAAATTTCTGCAGGTTTTCTCTTCCTGGCACACGTTTCAAAGGGTTTGGGGTGAGGAACCCAAAGGACACCCCAAGACAGGCCTGGGGGTGCATCCACACACCCAGCAGCGCTAGCCAAGGGGCTGTTTGGTGCAGCCCAAGGACACCACCCCCCTCTGCCGCAGCCCAAAACACATCCCAGAGCACAGATGGACCCCCAGGACAGCAGAGGGTGGTGACAAAGGAGCTCAACGTCTGTCCTAAACATCCCCCGGCAAAGTCTCCTCCAGCATCCTGCGGGTTCCTGCCTGGTGGGGATGCTGAGGGGGCAGTTCCTGCCTGCAGGGGATGCTGAGGGGCCGGTTCCTGCCGGACCCCCCAGTCGGCTCCTTCCCCTCCCTTTGAACTCGTTTCATCTCCCCCAGCCGCGGCTGCCAGAGGGAAGTTTGGTCTGGGCTGGGGGGACCCCGCTGGGCCCGGCTGGGGTGGGGGGCAGGATGGGGGTCCTGCCCTGTCGCCGGCGCAGAGGAAGGATGTGAGAGGGGAGGTGGGAGCGGTGGGGGAGGCAGCAGAGCTATTTTAGGTGGTTTGCAGCTGTTTAGGGCAGCCCCTGTGTGGTTGGGGAGGGGGTACCCTCTGCTCCAGCCTGCTCAGCCCAAACAATGCTCTTGCATCCCCCGTGGTCAAGGAAAGACATCCTGGGAGGAGGCAGCACTGATCAGACCCCAGGAGCCAGCAGGGGAGATATTCAGAGGTTGGGGCAGAGGGATTTGGGTTTGTTGGGATATCCTGGTTCCCCCACCTTGCTGGGTGTGTGCTGAGTGGGGCAGGGGGTGCAGAGGAAGGAGGTGCCACCTCAGAGCCAAACAAAACAGAAAAAAAAAAACCCAAACCGGGATTTTTCTCTCTGTCTGAGTAAATCTGCCTCTCCCTTGCACGGGCAGCTGACACTGCTCTGGGCTTCTGTGCCACGGAGGATCCCGAGGCAGAGCGTTGGGTGCTGCTTTGGCATCTCCCACTGCCATCCTGGGACTCCCCAGGGGCTCAGGGCACCGTTTGCTGCCAGGAAATCCCCACCCCGGGGCCACAGAGCTCCCGGTGTCCCCCCGGGGCTCAGCTCTGGCACTGAGATGGTCCAGGGGTTTGCTGGAAGAAGGATCAGACCTGCAGGCTGTCCCCCAAGGGTTGGGATGTCCCTGGGGAGCCTGGAGCTGGCTTTGATGCACTGTGTTCCCCGTCCCTGCCAGGCTGCACTCCCAGTCTGATTGAACGGAAAGGCTGGAAAAGCCCTGAGGTGAATTTGCTTCTCCCCCCAGCCGAGAGTCCCTCTGGCTTCTCTCCCCCCAGCTGGGGACGTGACAGGGACATGGAAACCCTCAGAGAGCCCTTCAGGACACCCGAAATGCACGTGGGGGACCCTGGAGTGGGGCTGGCATTTGGGAGGGGCTCGGAGCAGGGATTCCTGGAGCCCCTCTCCTGCTGCTCCCAGGCCCTGGCAGCTGCCTGTGGGAAATTCCCTGCTGGAAATGGTTTCCCACTGCCAGAGGGCAGGGAGAGATGGGATATTGGGAAGGGATTCTTCCCTGGGAGGGTGGTGAGGGGCTTCCCAGAGAAGCTGTGGCTGCCCCAGCCCTGGAAGTGCCCAAGGACAGGTTGGATAAACTTGGAGTAACCTGGGCTGGGGTGTCCCTGCCCATGGAACTGGGTGAGCTTTAGGATCCCTTCCCACCCAAACCATCCTGGGATCCTGTGAGACTCATTCCCCTCTGTCTGAGCCTCCTGTGAGCAGAGAGCAGGTCTGGAAATGTGTGGGATCCCCAGGAATCCCATCCCACAAGACCCCTCAGCCATGTATGGATCACCCTGGCAAACATCCACCTCGTGCCAGGCTTATCTGTGGAATTTCCCTGGCACAGGGACAGGCTGCAGAGTGCACACTGTCCCTGCTCCGTGTCCTGGCTGCCCTAGGGATGGGCCTGAGGCCAAGAATCCCCCTCCTCACCCCCCACCTGCCCGCAAACCTCTCTGGGGTGGCACCCCAATGCTGCAATTCCAGCTGGAAAAATGTTTCCAGTCTCATCTTTCAGCATCCTGCAACAGGGCAGGAGAAACTCGAGGCATTACAGACTCAGGGTATATCCTTTATGGTATTTCCTCTCTTATTTGCTGTATGTAGGGCACAACATCCCCTAAAATCCCTGCATTTCCAACTGCTGGGAATTCATCCAGACACAGAATCAGCAAGGTTGGGAAACACCTCCAAGTGTGCAACCATTAAGATGATGAAGCTGCAAAGCTTTTCAATATTAAAGTGGGCTATGAAAAGACAGAGGAAAATCTCCTGGTGCCAAGTGCTCAGACACAGAATGGGATGATAAAATTCTGGGGGGACACTGCGGGAGAAAAACCCACTTAAACTGCACCCGACATGGGGGCTCCAAGTTAATGTTGCTCCCGGATCAGGACAGGAATCTCCCCAGAAAAGGCCCAGAGAGCAGCAAAGGAGGAAAAGGGGCTGGGATTGGGAGGAAAATGCCAGGCAGTGCTGCTGGAAGTCTGCAGAACTCCCACACCCCACTCAGGGAACGAGAGAGCCCAAAAAAGCCCCGTGAGCAACGACAGGGTGGGAATTGCTTTGGTGACACCAACAGGCTGGGAGACAGGGATTCGTCAGGGTGGGAAAATCACAGGCAGGGAGGAAGTTGGGAACAGTCTGTGAGATCATGTGTGGCGGGGAGGGGGTGGGCAGGAACTGTGGATTTATCCTGCACCCCCCACCCCACACCCCCTCGTCTTACGCTCCTTTCCCAGGCAGCTCCACCGGCTGTGGGGGCAGAAAAACCCCAAAGCAACACATCCCTGGCCTCATCCCGTGGATCCCGTGGATCTGGGAACACTGAGCACTCTAGGGCTGTCAGCTGATCCCCACGCTGGTGTCCCCGTCTCCCAGGGTGGGAAGGCCATTCCTGCCCCATTGGGGCCTGGGCAGCACCAACACAAGGGGTTTGGGTGCCCCTTGGGGGTGTTTGTGCTGATGAAGGGTTGGGGACCCCTCCAGCAAACTGTCTGGGCTGCCACGGGGTCAATGGGATGGCAGCAGTGGGGGTGTGCTGGGCTGGGCTGGGCTGTGTTCCAGCAGTGCTGAGGTGTCCCTGCAGCCCAGGAATGTCCTTGAGCAGAGCAAGGGGGACCAGGGAGAGCAGCTGCTCAGTGAGGGCTGAGCTGGGACACACTGGAGCAGCGCCCAGGCCGGGTGTCATCTCCCCTCCCAGCCCCACTGGCAGCCCCCAGCCCCACTGTGACACTCCCCAGCCCCAGGGGCTGCAGCACAGCCCTGACAGGGCACAAAGGGTTAAATGTCTCCTCCTGGAGCAGCAGAGCTCAAACACGGAGTGTCCCCCTCGCTCACACCCCAAGGTCCTTGCCCTGGGCTTGGAATGGCAGCAGATGGGGGTGATGAGAGGGGGAAAACGGAAAAGAGTCATTTGTGGGGTCTCTCCTGGGTGAGGCTGCCCCAGGAAACGTGCCAGGCTGGCACCTCTTGTCCCTCAGAGCTGTGTCCCACATGTCCATGAGCCAGCAGGTTGTCCCCCCTGGGCTCCTGGGTCCCCATGGTGAGGGAGAACCTGGGCTGGAAGCCAAATCCATGTCCCCTTCCCTGAGCACCACACCAGGGCTCTCCCGAGCGTGGGGACACACTTTGTCCTGGCCGCGGGGGTCCTTGAGGGACTGTGATTCTGCCTGCACACCCAGAACCCCCTGAACCCCCAAAAGAAGCTGCTGGAGGCTCCAGGACCCCCCCCCAGCCCAGCCTGTCCCGGTCGCTGCCGCAGCCAGACGTGTCTGGGACGGCGGAGTGCAAGAAGACCTTTCTCCCAGTGCTTCTCCAAGAGCTTGAGGCACCCCCACACCCTGTTAACCCCCGCAGGGCCGGTCCCGACGCGCCTTCCTACCTGACAGGGATCTTCACCCGCAGGTAGCGATCCACGGCGATGGCCAGGAGCGCCAGGATGGAGCTCTCGGTGAGGATGAGGACGGGACACGCCACCATGAGGCAGCTGTAAAACTCCGTCTGCGGGCCGATGTTGATGATGATGGCCAGCGGGATCACCAGAGCCCCCACGGCCACGTCGGCCACCGCCAGCGACACGATGAAGCAGAAAGTGGCATCTCGCAGTGCCTGGTTCATCTTCACAGCCCAGATGACCAGGATATTGCCCGGCACGGACACCAAGGCGATGAGCACTTCGATGGAGATGTAGGCAGCCTGGAAGGCTGAGATGGGGTGTGCCATGATGCTCCGGTGCCCCCCCGCTCCCGCTGGGGTCCTTCGGTCACCTGCAGATGCACGGGGAGGCTGTGAGGGACTGGCATCGCTGAGTGCGCTGCGAGCGGGATGGAGCCTGGGCGGGGGGTGGCAAAAAACCCTCTCCCGTCTGTGCCGTCCCCTGGGGCTCCGACACCCCCGCGGGGCTCATCCCGCAGCCACCTCCGTCCCGCAGTTACCGCCCTCCCGCAGTCACCTCCGTCCCGCAGCCACCTCCGTCCCGCGCTCACCTTCATCCCGTAGCGCCACCGCTCCCGGCGCTGCGGGAGGAGTGGGACCCCCCGACCAGCCCAGGGAGAGCAGCAGAGCCCCCCGCGCCCGTCGGGTGGCCCTGGGCCCATCTGCTGGACCCCCTCAGAGCTGATGGATCCGCAGCGGTGTCTCCGCTACCCCTCCCGCCTGGATCCCCCCCACCTCCCACAGCCGCCCGAGCCCCGAGCCCCGGCCCGCCCGCGCTCGCCCCGACCCCTCTCACCTTGTCCTGCAAGGCCGGGGCTTGTTTCGGGGTGTCCTCACCCCAAAATAGGCAGAGCTGTCCCCCCGCGGGGCGGGGCGGGGCTCATACTGGGGGGCGGCCGGGACGATGCTGCGGGGACCGGGCCGGGGCTGCGCTCGGTGCCCGGTGCCCGGCACCGCTCGGCTCCCGCAGGCGCTGCCCGCTCCCCGCCGGAGCCCGAGCATCACATGGTGCCGCCTTCCAGCGTTTAAAGAGCGACTGACCCGATTCGGGGCTCGCCGGGACCGGGAGGAACCGGGGGAGGGGGGACGGGGGTGGGCGGGCGGAGGCGGTGGCAGGACCGGGAGGGGGCGGGGGAGCAGCGGAGTCTGGCCCAGCCCCGCAGCTCCCGGCACGGCTCGGGCCCCGGCTTTAGCACCGAAACAGGGTCTTGAGGCCGGGTGTGAGCAGAGGATCGGGGCGGGGAGGGGAGGGCGGAGGCAGAACTTGAGCGCGGGGTGGGGGCGGCGAGGACCTGGCCCATCACCCCGGCCGGGGCAGCGCTGCTCGGGGCTCGGGACCCCAGCTCAGACCCGAAGTGCTCGCCAGGGCTCGGGCTGGCAACGTCTCACCCCCAATCACTGCTGGGGTGGGCGGGGGATGAGCCCCAAGGCCTCCTTCCCCTTCCTGGGGCACCCCTGGGTGCTGGGGGGGCTGCACCCCGTGCTGGGAGGGGGAGGCAGCACCCCCCGTGCAGGGGTGTCTGCTGGGGAGGGTCTGTCCAGACAAGGTGTGTGGAGGGATGGCGACCCCAAACTGGTGCCGAGCTTGCACCAGACGCCGTTTAAGGTCCTCAGGGAAGTTTTTGGGAAAAAATGGTCACCCCTGAAGCCCCATTGCCCCATTCCCCAGCCCCACCCCCCCGGGCTGGGCAGCGCAGAGACGGTGGGTGTGGGGGCTCGACCTGACTGATGGAGCTGAACCAGCCAAGCGCTCCAGGGACCCCCAGGAGTGGCCAAGGCACCTGCAAGGCTCATCCTGCACAATTGTCCCCCCAAGGAGCAGGGCTGGTTTATTCGAGTACTGCAGGGACCAGGACCAGCTACGACCTCAGGTGTGGGGCAGAGGGACTCTCCCAACCTCCATCTGCCCCTCTCCCCATCCTTTCTCCCTCCCCTGGTGAGACTCGGGGCTGGAGCTGTCCCCTCCTGCCTCGGTGACAGATGTCCCAACACCTGGATCTGCTCCTTGGGGTTGACTCTCATCCTCTCCTTCACCAGAGCCTACCCACCCCACAGCAGGGGTGAGATCAGCGTGGAACCGCCACAAACCAGGGCTGACTTCCCCATCAGCTGGTGGCCCATGGGCTTCCCCCTCTCGTCCTTGGGCGAGTGCCCAGCCCGGGGCTGGGAGGTCTGAGCATCCCGGGGCCGTCTGGAGACGGTGGCTTTGTGCCAGCTCTGGGCACTGGGCTGTGCAAGTGACGGGCTGAGGAGAGCTTGGCTGGCTCTGAACGATCTGTTTGCGCTGCAGAGAGAAAAATAAACCCAGGCGAGCGGGCTCCTGTAAACACCGAGCTATTTATGGGAGCGTTTGCATCCCGCAGCATCTCCTCACACCTCCCGCACCGCGGGGAGGGAACCGATGCTCCCCCTTCGGCGGAGCCCCTAAATCCAGAGGCGAGGGGCGGAGTGTGTCGGGGGGCTGCTCAGAACGGGGTACTGAGGGGGGGAAAGGGAGTCCCCAAACCCTTCACCCCTCAGCTGCCTGGGGGGTGTCCTTGCAATCAGCGTCTGGCTGGGAGCGGAGCAGGAAAAGCGGCAGGTTCCTCACGGGAGTGCAATGCGGAAGCAAAGGCGGGCAGGGCCCGGCCTAATTGTATGCAAATCTCCCAAACAGAGATTAAAACCACTCCTTTTCCTTTGTGGATTCGCAATTTGTTCTCCCCCACTGGACTCGTGCCCCCGTGCTCCTAATTTTAGAAGAACCTCTAAAAAAAAAAACAACAACCCGGGTCGTGCCAAAAATGAGCTATCGGGTGGGAGCCTGGCAGAGGGGGATCCCAGCTCCTCCATCATCCCAAGCAAAGCATCCCAGGGCTTGGGAAAAGCCTGCAAAGGTCGAGAGTGACCAAATGTTGCAGGTGGTTGAGCAGAGCCTG